TTAAACACAGATTATATATAGTTTTGTGTGTGTGTGTGTGTGTGTGTGTGTGTGTGTGTGTGTGTGTGTGTGTGTGTGTGTGTGTGTGTGTGTGTGTATGTGTGTGTGTGTATGTGTGTGTTACATTTTGTTGAATGAATCAGCGAGAAGTTAGATTTTTCTCTTTCAGTTTTGCTTTCTTTTTACGAGATGTTTCTATTGAGAAGCACAAACAGGAATTTGTCCAATTAAATCAGTCACTGTTCCTTCAGGTTTGTATAAGTTGGCATAAATGACCTGAAAAACAATTGTAATTTTAGCCAAGTTTTTATGTTTTCTTTAACGTTAATTTAATTTCCTTTTAAGATAAAGGAAGTATTGAGTTGAAATAAATTTAATTAAGTTAACATTCAGCATTCAAGGTTTCATAACAACACAAAGGTGCTTCTTAATTTGCTTTATTTGAACATCAGTTTAAAAATAACCAATTGTTGTCTCTGTGCTGGACACTGGGTTTGTACAGGCAACATCTGAAATGTAGTAATTAACTGCTAAAACCAAACAAATTAAAACAGCATTTTTAAAACACAAGGTTAACACCATCAATAGGAACACATGTAACACACCTCAGTCTACATGGACTGTTGTGTGCCAACCTCTGAACTACAACATTAAATATTTTATCTTTATTTTAAATTACTCTTTTGTCTATTTTTAGCTTTTAGGAAATGTTTTTGTTAAAAAGTAATAATTTAATTTAGTTCAGCACACACAAACTATTTTAGGATTTATAATATAAAGCATTTGCTCTTCTCCAGGTTATAAAATTAATTAAATATGACCTCAGGTGAATAAAAACACACCACAGATTCCAGCATGTCATTAATTTTTTAAACAAAGCTAAAACCAAATTGAAAAAAGTTTGTCAAAAACTAAGTTCATTGAGTGATTTTACTTTCTTTTTACTTCACCTCTGTAAGAGATCCATCCATCCATCCATCCATCCATCCATCCATCCATCCATCCATCCATCCATCCATCCATCCATCCATCCATCCATCCATCCATCCAGCCTGGACAGGATGTTAGGTCATTATGCAACCAACACAGAGGGCAACAAGACAACTAAGCACACCTGACCACACATTGACTATCCAGAGTCCGACCCTGGTCAACACAAACATGCAGCTGATTACATTCTAACCCACCACAGTAAAAGTCACTTGCAGCTTCATTCCAACATTATTTGCAGACAGCAAACCTCTTCTTCTCTTTGCTCCCTCTGCTTTGACAGCTATGGTGGGAGATGCAGTTTTAACATGCAGATAAACTATTATTATCTACTACAGCAGCAGATTATTATTTTTTTTTTTTTTTTACTGAGATTTAAAAATAGACATATATTGAAGATATATACATCAAAAATGATTTATATATCATTTTTGGCTGAAAATGATTTTTTATTTATTTTTTTGTTAACTATTGAAGGGAAAATAGAATTCCTACTTAGATTCTGATTAAAGTTACAGATTCAGTTGTCCTCATAAAACAATTGGATGTAGTAAAAGGAAAAAGGGGAAAGCAAAGCCTGGCAACCCACCATGCTGATGACGAACTGATGGAAACCCTGCCATTATTGATAGTTAATGAAACGTGGAGTTATGAGATGACCAAATTCAATATAATACATTTTCAAATCCCCAGTGGAATACATCCATAACAGGCTGCATATGCAGAACAACTTAGGTTTGATTGCTGTCTTCCTACATATCCATGTGTTGTAACAGATTTGTATCAAATTGAAGGCGATTTCCACAGCCAGGTAACTATCATGACTAAAACAAAAATATCGTAGTCTAACTGAATTTAGCTATTTTTAAATAATGTTTTAATAAATCCAGTTGGTGTGTGTTTTGTGATTGAATTGAACTTTTGTGTTTGCATTTATTTGCATATCTCTGACATGACCTTCTTGTTAAATAATTAATTGAATTACTGCAATGCAAATGAATTAAAGTAATCTACTGAGATGTGGTGACCAGTAGTATTTAGTAGAGATTCTTATCTAAGCTTTTAATGAAGAGTGTTTAGTTATAGCTGCCTTTACCAATGAAATGAAATCACCCATAGCTGAATTCAGAAAATATTAAATATTTTCTATCAGACTGCTTAATGAGATCTTTTTCTTTTGTTTTGCTCATTAATATAGTGCATATTCTCCCATACAGATGTTTAATCAGCAATCAGTATTGTATTTGTACCTGATAAAAGCAAGAACATCTAGATGACTAATGTAACATGCAGGTGTTCCATAGCTGAAAAGGATTTTATTCAGGGTATATGGGCCTTCTGCTGTCACTGAGAGCAGATATAGTAACCTGTCATAATGAAGAGAAAAACAAATGTTTTTTTTTTGTTTGTTTGTTTGTTTGTTTTTTTATCTTAGGATTTATAGTTCAATGGTCTGTTCTCCAATCTGTTCATAACTGACACACATGAACTGTCCTCTGTGCTGCAGAGCGGTACCACAGGATGGAGCAGATCAGTAAGTCTCAGAGCAGCCAGCCCTCTGCCTTCATGAACCAACTGATGAAGCTTTCCAACAAGAGCCAGGTAGGCCACGCCTGCATGCCGATCAAACACCTGCTGAGTCCTGATATCAGACAGCCGCAGATAAAAGTTCCCAGTGGGGATATGAACATCCCCACTGGGAAGCTGGTATTTTCAAACAAAATTACAAAAGCCATTACATCTGTATCCAAAATCAGATTAATTGAATTATCAAAAATACACAATCTTTTTAAGACTATTTTGCAGTGTTTCTACATAGACCTTAATGTGAAAGTAAAAAAAAAAAAAAGCTGATTTTTTCCTTTTTTGCAGTAATGCTTGTCATAAAATAAATTAGCCTAATGTTTCACTGAATTCAGACTACACAGTGGCACAGTTGATAGTGTTGTTGTTTTACAGCAAGAAGGTCCTTGGTTCAAATCCTGGCCGGGTTCTTTCTGCATGTTCTCTCTATGCATGTGGAAAGAGGCACCAGCTCCCCGCCCAGCAAGGACATGCGTGTTTAAGATAATGAATGGATGGTTCATTAGATTGAAACAAAAAAAGAGCCGAATTATTTTTAATCCTACAATGAAATGCAGTGTAGATTTTCACAGAATCCACCATATTCTCTTTCAGTCTGAGCTGGTGCTGGTGCAGCAGCCATCAGGGCTGGACAGCCTGGCACAGGCTGCGGCCCTGCTCAACGCCTCCATCCAGGCCATGGAAGACACGCAGCAGGACGGCCTGCAGCCAGCCGACATGGTGACGCTCATCCAGCTGCTGACACTCACTGCTGACGTCTCCTCTGAACCATCAGTCAGCGCTGAAAACAGTAGCCGTGACAACATCCAGGAGCTCAGTCAGCACTTCATCAGTGTGGCTGACAGCATCATCAGTGAAGACAACGCAGACAAGTGGCAAGCTATCAAAGAGGTAGCATATGATATATGAAGTAGATTTACTAGAGACTTGCCATTATTGCTCTACTGAGCAATGTAAGTGCTTGAAATGTTTCTAAAGCCACGTCATCCTTCCTGCTGACATCACAGAGAAACAATGGGAACCATCCTTCAACCTTGACCCCATCACTTCAGGTCAAATCATTAAATGAAAACGTTACTTACAAAAGCATAGATGTTGAAATTTACAGCAACGTATCGTGACAGATTCTAAATATATTTTAAAGTCTCCTAAAACTGTTAGGAACTAACTTACAGATAGTTCAGTCTAAATTTTACCATATTGCCAATTTTCTAACTCTGTGAAATTAGGGTCTCTGAATAGCAAAGCTGGAGTTGTTCATTATAAAAAGAATGTTGTTTTTTTATGAAAACCATATAAACCACCGTTGTACGTTGCATCTTAGCAATGTCTCCTGGAAGACATTAGTGGGTTCTTCATTGTCTGTGTTTACATGGACTATACATTTGTGCAAATCTGAATTCCAAAAACAAATGTGTTTAAAGGAAACACAGCAATAAAAAAAAATTGTTTTCTGATAATAAAAAAAAATTGCTCTAGGATGAGGTCTCTTTTCAGCCAAAATTAGCTTGTTTTGCAAAACTGCAATGGAAACACGTTTCTCAACAGCCAGATATTACTACTACTGTAAAAGTCAGAGATGACAACAGGAAGTGGTAGGAGGAGGATGGTGCGGAATGACTTACCACATTAAAAGACTTATTCACATGTGAGTTTAATTTAGTCTCTTATTTAATGGAAACATTGCAATTGTGAATTTGTGTCTTTTTGATAGTAGCGGAATACCAACAAAATTTTGTGCACATTTGTAATGGAAACGCAGCTTCTGTTTGTGACCGAGTCTGGCTTCCCTGAGTGATTAAAATATGGGCAGAACTTAGAGGGTTCCATGAATGGGGGTTGTGTGAAGTGGTGTTGTGGAAATGGCCAGATAGGTTTTGTGTCTAGACTATGACCTCATCCTGCCTGCATCTTGCTGAAAACATCACCGTAAAGAAAACAGCTGCTTTATGCTTTACCTCTTTCCACCTCTCTGGTTTGAGCTGAGATGACCACATCCACGTTGATGTGTTGAATAATGACAGCTTCAGCACATTAAAGCAGCAGGTGCAAAAGACCGAAGGTCCTCTTGCACCTGGGATTAAAATATTAACGGGACTAACATTAAAATAATTCTGACTCTATGCAGTGAATAAGATGACATTCAGAGATCCAGCACACCACAGTGAACATCCAGCAGAATTGAGCACAAAGGAGACAACTGGTCTGAACTGACATGTAGAGCTGTCAGTGTGATTAATCTAAAATTTTAAAGCCATAATATTAAATAATGGAGATTAATTGAGCTACCTTTGTTGACCTAAAAGCCTCTCTCCTGAGGAGGGATACGTAGTCCACAGCAGTGTGTTATTAGTTCGATACACAGTAAAGGGACGAAGAAAGATAAAAGTTGAACATTTTCAACTTTCTTGTGTTGCGTTGCTGGTCTTCGTGTGGACATCGACTATACCAGCTCAAAGTTACATTGAGCTGAGTGACTGGAAAGGAATGGAGAGGGACATTTCTAAATTAGCATTTAAAACAAAATGTATTCCTTAAGCCTCCCTGAATAAAAAAAACCTGGAAAACTGAGAATCTTCAGACATATTTGATTTGTGACAATAAAACATTTTTTGTAAATATTTTTTGAAAACGTGCACACAGACATATGGGCTACATGGGCAGTTTGCATCTGCTACACACATTTAAAATGGCCGTCTTACTTAATCTAGCTTCTGTGTCTTTTTGAAGCTCAACATTCCTGTCAAGTTCAAAGACAGAAGGGTTTAAAACTTAACATGGTTTATAATTAATGGGCTTCTGTTATCCCAGACTGTTGACTGTGACGTATGTTTTAGCTAAAGCTAATTCTAATCCATTGCTTTAGTTTTGTTTAGCTAGTTAAAATTAACTGGAAGTATCCGTTATTGTTCTAAGTTTTTTTTTCTTTTGTTGTCCCTGAACAGAAGCAGAATCATGGGGGCAGTTGATCTATATTTTTTATTCTCCAGCTTTCTGTGTGTCAGAGAATCACAAAACTACGTTCTGCTTTGTCTGTAACAACTTTCTGTCACACCCTGCCTGGTGAGCGCTGTACTTTCTGCAACGAACAAACTAACCTTGAGACGAATTGGTGGATTGCATATTTATCTGTTGGTAAAACTGTAAAATATTGTGTGAAGGATATGTTTTCCTTAGTGGAATGTGTTCTGCTGTAAAGGGAACAAGGACATGATGAATGAGTTGACAAAAATGTATGAAACAATGAAAGTCTAGATTTTAAAGGGCTGAGAATATCCAAATAAAAAGTAATATCAGTTCAGAGTTCCTGTCGCACTAACAGTGAAAATTATAAACACCAACGCTCAATTCATCAAACAATCACCGGTTTGATTATTACATTTTCTATTCAGCTTCAGAATCTTAATGTGTATAAAACACATCATTATGGTGATCAGAATGAAACTGTATGAATAATATCTATTCTTCTGGTTCTGTGGTAAAAATGAAGTTCCATGTGTTGTAGCCACAACTGTGGACCTTTATATTTAGTTTATTTTTATTTTTTTTTCAAACTATAACCACCAAGTTTAATGCATTTTATGGGGATTTTATGTGATGGACCAACACAATGTGATGTACAAAATGGGAGGAAAATGGCTCATGGCAATCATAGCTTTTCACATGTACATATATGAGAGTTGTGCCCTGTAACACGGTCAACTCTCTTAACCTTAATGTCCTTACAGAAACTCCAGTGCAACCAAACACCTTTGAAAGTGACCTAACTTGTAATGTAACTGAATCTGGGTATAAATCCAGCTGTTCTGTGAAGCCCTCAGAGGTTTGCTGGGGACCTCTAGGGAACAAAAACATGAAAAGACCTAGGAACACATCAGACTGGTCATGGAGGAAAAATGAAGTTATTAAACAATATCTGATCGGTCCATCATCTCAAAATGAAAAGAGAAAAATAATCTTCAAATCTTTAAAGATGTAGTCATCCACCTAAACTCATATGCCGTAAAAGAAGAGTAATAATCCAAGGATGGGAATTCAGGAGGAGCAGCAGCGATTCACAGTTCATGTGGGAGAATCAGTCGCCAGTTAAATACAGTCCAATCCTGAAACAAAAGCTGTTGGAGAACTCAGAGGACTTGAGAATTGGGTGGAGGTTCACCTTCCATCAGGACAATGACCCCAAACATAGAGCCAGATGGAATAAAATGAAATGGCTTGGAATGAAGCAGATGTATGTAGCAATGGCCCAGTCAAATTCCAGACCTAAATTCAATTGTGAATAATTTGCAAGAAGATTTTCACATGTTTTTCATCCTGTGTGACTGAGCAGGAGCTATCTCACTAAGATTTCCTCTCTAGAAGATGTAAGATATAAACCTCACAAGAATGAGAGAAAGAGAAGAAAATGTTCTGAATATTTAGAAAGTAAATAAATGGAGTTAAATTTGAGGGTGCAATGAGATAAAATGAAGAGCTCAATGTGGCAGATGAACGTCACTAACACATGTTTGGTTCTCTGGAGGCAGGAAATAGGAGAGATGAAATTAGGAGATAAAATGGTGCATCGTTGTTTGGTAGGACAGTGATTTACATAAACCTGCACAATCATACTCAGAACTGATCTACAGCCGGAAGCAAAGGCTTTGCACTGAAATGTGTTATGTTCTGTTCAAAACACTAGAGGACAGTGTGTTTCTGTAAATGCAACTGAAAATGCACCAAGATCAGCTAAAATGATGAACACCTGAGTAGATCATCTTAAAGTCTTCCTCAAACATAATGCTTAATCAGTCAGATTTTGCTCTACGTTTTGACTGGAAATGTAAGTCAAAGAGAAGGCACATTGCTTCCTCTTGTTTATTTATTTTTTATTTTATAATCCTTTTTTGTACTTCTGCACCAGTGTGTGTATTATATAGATCTTTGCAAGAACTGCTTTACGTGAAAAGCTGTATTTCTCTCAGCGCTTTCCCTTCCTTCTACCTCACCCCCCCACCCCCCCAAGCCTCTTAGCTCTCCAAGGCCACCTCAACGCATCCTCAATGGATGAGAAGCACTCTGAAAAACCGAGGCTGCACTCACCCACAAACCTCCCGCGCTCTGCTCCCAGCTCCGTCTCCAAGGCTCAGCTTTTAGATGGGCACACTGAAATCAGAATGCGGTGTTTGGAAACAGACAATGGCAAAATCTATGAGGCATGCATTATAGGCCTGTCTGCTGAGCTTTGTGTGTCCTCCTCGGCTAATCTGCAGACTCTTTCAAACTGTTAACGGCACTTAAAGTATTTTTCAATTGTGCTGCAATGAATGGTCATTTTGAAGAGTCCTTAGCTCTGATGAGTGTGTAGCTCTGGGCAGGGTGGGTGAGGGCTGTCGATGCCAACACACTGGTGCTCTGTGGGTTTCAGGTGGTGAACGGTCCCATGGATGTTGTGAAGAGCGTGGACCGGATGGTGACCCGCTTCAGCCCAAGTTTGACAGCAGAGACTGACCATGTGACCATTCACACTCCCAATATCAGTGAGTTACCCAAATTTCCATTTTTGTTACAATAACAGGATTTATGAAGTTATGAATTCACAGGTTGGAGTCAGGATCAAAGACATTAATGAAAGCACAGAAATGCAATTATGTAACAGCAGACCTTCAAAATGATCCAATAAATTCTAGGATGGAGACAGAAATGCAGCACTAAAACAACAATAAAGGCACAAATTTACATGCTTTGTCAAAAAAAAAAAAAAAGTTTTTGAATGCAGATTTCATGTTGATTTTAATTTCAGAACAAAAGACGAACTGAATTTGGCATCTTTGTGTGGTGCTGGTTTAATGAGGCTGTTCATTATGTGATAGTTACTCTGAAGGAGCTGCTGGATTGTTCACAGACTATAATACAACAAGTACAGCGCTGGTCGCTGCTTGTAATCTGAAATGAACTTTCTGAACCCAACAGAAATCCTATGTGTGTGTGAGGGATGACTTGTGTTAAATATAAATACATGGTCATTTTTTCTTAAACAGAACACATGTTTATATAGTGACTACTATGTGTAAAAAAAACAAACATATATTTGCGCTGCAGTTATTATTTTATTTAAACAATTGTTTTATGTAGAAACACACATGACAGAGTGAGCAACAGACCTGATTTAATCGTCCATGCTGAATGTTATGCAGTTTTAGATACTTCTGTTTAGTCAGTGTTAGACAAAATTTACATAGAGCAGATTTACATTCATAAGTTCATTTCTATATCCCCACAATTCAATTAAAAATCCACAAGAAACAAAAATAATTAATCATAAGAAAGTGAAAGAGAGAACAAAATTAAACTTTGGGTATTGTAGTATAATATGAATATGAACAATATGAATGAAATGGAATAGTTTTTAAAGTCAAAAAAGAAAGCTTAATGATAAATGTGATGGTATATTTTCATATTTGTTCTGTTCTAACAGGTACAGAACAAATATGTTATATACATAAGAACTTAACTGGGATTTCCATCCCAGTTAAGATGAACATAAGCTTGTTCATCTTATGTATTGTTGAACAGGATGTGTGTTGGTGAAAACACACATGCATTTTTTCCTTCTCATAAACTTTAATGTGACATGATCAAGCAATCCTTGATTTTAGGCACTTGAATTTTATTAACCATGCTTTTTTATTTAAAAACATTAGTCCACTAGTAGATACAGATACTAAATATGCATAGGAGAATTTCCATCCCAGTTTAGGTGTTGTAAGAAAAACACAAAACTAAACAAAATTAAGCCTCCAACAATAGGCAGAAATTATAATATTAGCCCAAAATGTGGCAAAACCTTTTTAATACAAAAAGTGATCAATACAACATCAGAAAATTCTATACAGAAATATAAGGATATTCTGCTGATGTTCTGCATAAAACCATTTTTAATGTCACACATTTAAAATGTTATCTGGATGGTTATGTTCTTTGTAGAAGTGGAGCTGCAGCAACAAAGACTGGGTGAAGGGTCTAGAGTGGAGAGTTTCTGTGGGCCTGGGTCAGAGACGCTGAGCCTTATAGACTGCATTTCTGTTCCACGTCAGAAGATACAGGATCTGCAGAACAATGGTAGAAAATTCATACAAATCCAATCCTCGATTCATTCTGTCAAATGTTTTTTTATTTGGTGTTAAATTCTACAGGTGAAATCAAAGGCATCTTGCTCTTCCTGCACCACAATGTCAGATTTTGCAGCAAATGTTGATAGAAAATCATAAGCTAGTGATGAATTGGATTTCTTTTAGTTTTATTTTGAGCTATTTTGTCCTGCAAACTGAAGAAAAGCTTTTGTGTTGAATGTGCAGGCTTCTATAAGATTACCTTGGTCAACATGTGGTATGGCTCTCTGCGACCTCTTTTCAATCCAGAAGAGAACATCACCATGGAGCCTACGATCACTGACGGCACACAAAGGTAGAATTAACCCCTTACTGCCAGAACCGATCTGCAGCTGACATTTCAAAATAGTACATTTAACATATTTAGGTATTATGAAAATTTGTTAAATTAAGTATATTTGGGACAAACTCTGACAACTTATTGGCAGCAAAATCTTTCCTCTATGATTTTTGGTATGCACTGAATATACATAGATAGGCGTTAGGTGATGCAGAACCCTTTCTGAATTGTGCTTAGATTGTGACACTTAATGTGGCAGCATATTGGAATATTGTTATATTCATTCTAGTTTATACTTTGAAACTTAAATTCCCCTTTTTCTGATTGAAATGTTGTTTTTGTGGATGAGGATCCTCTAGTTTTGGATGCCATGTAGCTGGAAGAATTTTTGCTGATATTCCTTTACTTTTGTACAGTTTTTGTGTAACCACGGCAACAAGAAGATCTTTACAACAAGGAACTCAAGTAACACCTCAAATACAGCCCCGAATATGAGATGACCTCAAAATGAGACATAATAATAATAATTAATAATAATAATAATTAATAATAATAATAATAATAATAATAATAATAATAATAATAATAATAATAATAATAATAATAATAATAATAATTTTATTTGTACAGTGCTTTTCTAAACAGTCCAGACACTTGCCATGAATCAAGCAAAATTACAAACAGAACACTGAGCACAACAAACAAAATCATAAAGGAGAACGCTTAAATACAAAATAAATGATTACCAGATGACATATGATCGTATGATTTAAAAGATCTTAAAAATTTTAAGAAAGGGGAAAGAAAAACCACTGGGCCACTTGTAAATTTTGTCCACCACCAGGATTAAACATATGTGAAGTGAGCAAGAAAGAGTCTGGTAGCTCAAAAAGACAAAATAGGGCTTCACTGGTCTACAATGTTCTGCTGATCTCTAGTCTGAACTTCTTGTTCTGCTCTATGTTTGCACATCCACAGTGAGCAGCAGATACGTTGCCAGTAGAATACATATTTTGTTTCTTTATTCTCTTCCTTATGGCTGTATGTTACCTGTGCCTTGTTAACTTTTAGTCCTCCCTCGGTAACAATAGTTATAGTAGTTAAAAGTTCTGTTATGAAAATAAGTTTATTCATTCAGTTAGAGGTTTTTAGTTATTTATATTAATTGAATTTTTAAGTTTTTACTTTTCTCTTTTGTGTTTTGAATATGACTTATGGAGACTTGAGAATACGATATGTGAATGGATATGTGATGTGTTCTCACTTTTTACAGTGTGTGTGTGCATGGATATGTGTGTACCACTGAAAACCAAATCTATTTTTGGATAACAATAAATAAAGTAACCCAACCTAACCGTAGCTAACCTAACTCAGTGTGACCACCTTCTAATCAGGTGGTCACAGATCTCGGCTGACCAGGATGATTGATCATCAGTCCATTCTCAGCCCAAAGCTGGTGTTTGTAAAGATGTTCTAGTTCTGAAACGATGGAGCAAAGTTTGGTGAAAAACCATATTTTAGGTTGTGAAAACGAATAAATTAATTTATTGCCTTGACTTTACTTTTCATTCTCTTTCACAACAGAAGAAGGAAATGTGTCTTGTATTTAGCATCTTCATTGAAAATCCAATCAAAAATACACACTTATTTAAAAACACTCGATAAATGAATCGATCAAACAAGTTTATTTATGTATCACTCTTCAGCAGCAAGGCAGTTCAAAGTACTTTACATAACAAAAACACAAAATTACAATGTTACAAATAAAACACCATACAGTCAACAATTGAGCAAACATTACAATTTCATGAGTGTCATCACCAAAATCATACACATCAGTCATGTTGGTCGATGTTTCATTCACTGTGGTTAAAGTCTTTGTTTGGCCACAGGTATCTGGGCACTGTGCTGGGCTCAGCTGTTATATCCTCCACTGTGCTGGGAGACGACCAGCCAATCAGCATGGCGGTTCACTTCCAGCTCCAGCACAAAGCGCAGGTTAACCAAACCTCTGCTTTATATTTGTACTGTAAAAGTACTGGCCTATAAGAATGACATATTTATCATCTGATATTTTTCCCAGAATTCCATTGATTCTGTGTATGATCCTGTGTGTGCATTCTGGGACTTTGATCTCACGTAAGTAGGAATGGTTATTTTTAGGAGAACTTGCTATTTAACTGACTTGTAAAATTTACAGTAACAAAATTAACTGTCTAAGTGGATCCTAAGCAGATGCTGTGTCATGTATGTCTAAGCAGTCCGGAGGCTGGTGGATGGTGGAATACAAGAGGCTGTGAGCTTGTGTCCAAACATTATGGATACACCGTGTGCTACTGCAATCACACCACCAATTTTGCTGTGCTGCTGCAGGTTTACGAAACTCAGGTAACATTTGTGTGTCTGGCAACGGCTGTGGATTTCTGTAGCATCCTCATCAATAGGATGTGCAGCTGTTTAAACAGCATATGCATTTTGTGTTGCTCTGCACCAGACAAGCCCAGAAAATGAAAAAGCTCTGCAGGTGTTGACGTTCATTGGCTGTGGAGTGTCTCTGTGTGGCCTCCTCTTCACCTTCATCCTCTTCATTGCTGTGGGGTGAGTCACAAACATCACAGAGTGCATCCTGAAAGCATCAAGGGTGAAAAGCATTTCATAAATCCCTGCCAGATTCACATCAATAAGAAAAAAGCTGAATATTGTGTGGATGTGTGAGCATCCCTACAGGAAAACATTTTTCAATAAACGTGGGAGAGCTTCTCTCGCACATCGCGGCTCACACATGATGTTATGTGTGTGTGTGCGTGTGTGTTTGTGTGTGACTTTTTTAGAGTCCCCAAATCAGACCGAACCACTGTCCATAAGAACCTGATAGCTGCTCTGGGCCTTGCTGAGCTTCTGCTGATGTGCAGCGACTGGGCCGCAGAAAATCAGGTGAGACACTTTGATTAATCATATAAAGTGTTATAAATCTTTTTCCACCATATTGTAAAACCATGTATTGATAATGCATTCAGTCCAGTGCAATATGATTAGGGCTGTCAAAGTTAACATGTGGAGATGAGATTAATCTGAAAATGTTAACACATTAATATTACTTAATGCTGATTAATCAAACTACCAACTGTGACCTAAAGCCTCTCTCCTGTGGATGGTTGTGAAGTTCACAGCCGTTATTTGCTCAACACACAGTGAGCGACGACCGACAGAGAAAGGTCTGTGACTGCAGACAGAAACACAAATTTAACATTTTTAACTTTCTTATGTTGCGTCGCTGCTCTTCATGTGGACATGAATGAACTATGCTGGTCGTTCAGCTGGATGAGGACAAGCGACTGTGGCCTCATCACACAAGTTCCATAGGAAGTGAATTGAGAGGAAGGTTTCTAAACTAACATTTAAAACCTAGAAAACTGAGGATCTTCAGACAATAAAACATTTTCTTAATAATAATTAAAAAAAAAACATTGGTGATTTTTGATATGGGCTATATGGGCGGTTTCCCAGGGCAGCATCAGAAATTGATGGGGCACCAAAGAGCTAGAAAATAAAATAAATCTTATCTGTCATCTGTCCAAGTTTGCTACTACTTGTGCACTGGAGTAAGTTTCCTATAGTTGCTCTCGAGTACTGGGAGACTACATTACTTCCTTGCTGCTGCAAAAATTAAGCAGAAAACATCTTGCATTTTAATTGGCTGGGATGTGGCAGAAGGAGGGGTTCACCCAGGACACCATACCTCCAAGAAACACAATATAGATTTCAAGTTTACAAACTCAGGCAAAGAGAGACAAATGATGATGAATCACAGTGGTACAGTGTGGTTAATCCAATTACATTTTTTTTAATCGACTGACAGCTCTAGTTATGATAACTGATTATTTAATGAAAACAGGTCTAGCACAGATGCAGCAAAGAAGGTGCACTGTTTTAATCAAGATGCACCCCACTAAGATTTCAGGATTAATTCCAGGTGTTTTTGTCTGTGTTTAACCCTGCAGGCAGCATGTTTCATGGTGACTGCTCTGCTTCATCTCTTCTTCATGGCGTCCTTCTGCTGGATGCTGGTTGAGGGTCTTCTTCTTTGGAGCAAAGTGGTTTCTGTTAACGTCAGCGAGGACTGCAGGATGAAGCTCTACTATGTCATAGGCTGGGGTAAACTTGTTTTATTGATGATGGTCACAACTTAGCACTTCTCTGCTTCAGTCGCCAAGACACTATTCTGAAAAATACAACAGGACAGTGGGCTGGCTCTAATTAAACATCACTTTTTGACCAAGATTTACTTCCATGATGTTTTTTCTCTTATCCACATCTGAGTGTGTACATGTCACTACATATAGGCTCGTAGAAGACGGGAGTAGTAGCAACCCATGGAGACAAGTATATAGTAATTGTGACTTTTATTTATGAACAATTAAAACAATAAGCAATATTTACAATAACCAAGACTCATCTGTCTTGAAAAAATAAAAATGTCCTTTGGGGAACATTCAAACCGCTCAGTGAAAATTCTCTAGTGGATCCATTCAAAGTTCAAGTCTCTACATTTTAGGGAAAATTCAGTCAAGGAAAGAATCCAAAGGCCCTCAATGGTGTCAGGCAGAGAACTGACCCAGTCCTATCTCATCATCTGCTGATGGATGTTGTGAGGGGTCAAAGTTTGACTGTGAGGCTCACCATTGCCTGGACTCCCAATCCTAGGCTGCAGCATCAAATAAACTCCTGACCTATATTTAAAATACAGACCTATAGTCCTTCTTCTAATGCTCTGTCATAAAATGAGGTTTATTCAACCGCTGTACAACATGTATCTTTTCTTTATGTAAAATTACATTTTATAGTTTACAGGTAGGTAACTGTAGCTATTTTCTTTAGAACATATCATTTTAATAAATTGTAATCACAATAAAATGAAATTGTATGATTATGTTTTACCAACGGATTTTGCGTAACTCACATTCCTCCGTGTGTGCTCTCTCTTTTTATTTCTTTCTAACTTCTTTTCATACAGGATTTTAGATTGTAAATAAAATCAGTTAAATAAATAGGTTTTAAATTAACATAGCATAAATTACAGCTCTGCTGCTTTTACCCATGCTCACCAAATTAAAAAAAAGCCACTCCTCTCTCAGTCCCTCAGGTGACTAAGGTTTAACCACCTCCCTATATGTGACTTAGCCTGAGTCACATAAGCAGATGATTCAGATTATTTCACAAGTTCCATAAAATGTTTGTTTCAATGTTAAAAGGATTGCTTTAATTTTTGTGATGTTAATTTTCCATAAATATCCATTATGGATCATCTGTGTGTAATATATAGTATCATGATGAAATCTGTTGTTTGTAGTCTGGAGACATATTAAGAGCGTAGAACATATGAACTTTACCATGTCTGTTAACAGCTTTATTCAGCAGGTTTCCCTGGAAACATTGCCTCTGTTTCCAGTCAGGTTTTCTGCCCCTTCTGGTATTTGTTTCCATGTTCACCAAACAGAGACCCACCAGAGATCAAGACAGTTCGCTTGTTAGCATCAAATTAACTGAGAAGCATATTAAATCATATTTAACATACAGTCTATACATACAGTTGTAGCTGAGCAGGTTAAGGTAAACTGATCCAGTAAATAGGCAATGTAAACACAGGTCATCTGGGATCACTTGTATGTATATCTTTTTACCAGGAACTGAAATGAGTCTTCTAAAAAAGTGTTGAGGTCAAGTGGTTGGCCTTGCTTCTTCATGAGGATCTAAGATTTTCTTTGCCTTACTGTGACATTGTTTCTCACTAATAAGGCTCTTAAGATTCAAAAGCTATCTTAGGCACTCACTAAGTGGATTATTGCCATCTGTGGCATCTGTGTGGATATAGGTTCACATCTGCAGTGATAATTTTCTTTAGAAAATAAATTGTGAAGGCTTTAGCTAAGATTTTTTTTTTTTTTCCACAGATTTAATGACAATGTTTGAGGGAGAAAGTGAAGCTTTTCAGGTGCTAACATTGCTTTTTGATCTGTACAACAAGCCACATCTACAGTGTCCTTGTAAAAGGATTTGCACTGCCTGAATAATTCTCAAAAATATGTAAATTTTGGTGATGAGATAAGATATATCCAAAACTTTGATACCAACTGATATAAATAAATAAATTCAGCACAACCAATTGCTTTCAGACATCACTAAAGTCAGGCTAATGTCAAATCTAATCTCAGTCTAAATAAACATCAGCTAACATCAACATCTATGAAACATCATGTTTTCTGTAAAGAGGGTATTATGTAAAATCAAATTTTTTGAGCTTTACATCATTTATAATGTTATCCCCTCATATAAAACATACCTTGAGTTTTGCCTTGATTCTTTCATGTATGTTTGAGAAATCATTTGATCTCCATGGCAACCTTTCAGCCATGCAAAACACTTGCTTTCTCCAAGCACCGCCTTTTCCATGCAGCTCCTCTTCAGAGTTTTGGTCCCGAGTCGAGCTCCTGCCTCACAGAGCAGCTCTCCCCCATCTCTTCCCCACTCAGCTCCTCTAGACTAGCTGCAGCAACAATTAGAAAACACCTGGTAGAACAGCGCATCTGCTGAGGTCAATGTATGAGCTACTTTTCAGTGAAACGCTACTTAGAATGATTATAAACGCCATAATGGAGAAACGTGATGACATGCCACGGGCACAGTGTCAGAAAGAGAAGAAGCTTCTTAAAGAGACATAGGCCTAATTTTATTAAATTGCAAAGTTAAATTTCTTTTAAGTCATGTTTGAAATATACAGTATTTTTGTAACTACTGAACATAACATTGTTACTACATTATGCTATAAAATGTTAAATTGTTGAGTGTGAGATTATGCAACTGTAGTAAGACCTAAATTCCTCTTAAAGTTTTACATACATATCTTTAAGCACATTTTAAGTCAGTGTAGTAACACATACGGTGGTAAAAATCAGAGTTATGAGTCGTCTACTTGTAAGGTTCAGGAAAAAAAAAAAAAAAACAGGAGGCTGGATAATTAAAATTTTCAAATATGACTCGCTTAATGTATATTATCAACAAATCTAATAGTTGCCTAAAAACAATATATGCTTTGTCCTTACATTAGGCAAATGTATGTCTGTTTACTTGGCTGGTAAACCATGAGCTTGAATTTCTTCCTTTCCTCCTTTTTCATGTGTCACTTTGACAACAACATAAAAAGAATGTGACAGTCTTTTGCACAGTATTTGAAAATTTGTGAAATCAAGATTTAAAAAGAAATAAAGCAACAACCCTGTTTTAGAAAACATGCAGAACACTTTCCTCTCACGTGGAATAACACAGTTTAACTGAAGGACATGGTAATAATCTCACAGCAAGAATAAAAGTACACACATCTACAGTTAATGCTTTTTACCCAGTGACAGAGAGGGAAAATAAAACATGTTGTTTGTTCACAAATAAAAAAAAAATAGAAGACAGGAGCTGATAGAGGGACCGAGAGTGAGGAGGACACACACACACTCTGACCAAATGGAGATTTTCTCATCTCCTCTTCTAACTACAAAACAATTATTCTCCCTGCTGAGCCACATTTGCAATTTGTTTTATATTAATTCAGGATTTAAATTATATTTTGTAAAAAGACCAAACAATACTTACAGGTAAAATCAGTTTGAGCGTTTTTGTTGTTGTTGTTGTTATTGTTTGTTTAGTTTTGTTTTTTTTCTTTTCTTTTTTTATGTGTTACTGGCAGTGAGCATCTCAGAGCAGACGCATTAGACTAAATTTTAGCTCAAATCAGAACTAATGTGATGGTGACCCATGTCGGGTTGGGGGTGTACAGAGCGGGGTCTGCAGCCCGAACAGCCATTCTGTTTTCAGGACAGCCGAAAACTCGTTTAGAGCCTCAAATGTCACAGGACTTCTAGAAAAATGGCATTTTTTTTTAAACAAACATCTAGTCTTGGAAATTTCTTATTTTTAAGAACCAGAATTTTATTTTCACTTTTAGGATTTAAAATAAAGATAAACATAGAAAAGGATGGATATTTTCATATACTGTTATGTAAATCATGAATTCCAACTTAATATAAAGAAAGCAGATCTTCTGGTACTTTTAGTGCCATTATTTATGGAAATACAGAACAATTATTGTAGGAAAAACTTAAAAATGGTTAAAAAAAGAAACCTTGCATTTGTTACGATATGTGTATTAACATTAACTTGCTTTTTGGGAGCCGCAGGTTGCAGACCCCTTGTGTAGATTGAGGGTATCCGTGCAATGCTGCCCAGTGTGTGAGAACTTCTCACACACTGGCAGCAGTACGGTACAATCCTCCAGCTCCATTCAAACCCACAACGGCCTTCACCCACTGATTGCTGTAGACATGCCAGCTCATCATAAATTAAATACCTTATATTTCAATTTTTCCGGGCTGTAAATTAGATTTTCCACCACTAAAAATCTGTAATGCTAAAGTAATTCTGCTGTGTTTGCCTCATGCTTCCCACCAGGGCAAAGAACCTTTTATTCTCACCTGATTTGCAGCTTCACAGGTCTGGTTGCTCTTTCCAACATTTTCTGTTTATTCTAAATTTTCTCTGCTTATAATTACTTACATGATGTTGTGTTACACAACAGCCTTAACCCAGTTTTTATTTATGACAGATGTTCTCGTATCCATTTGTAAGTGTGTGTTATGTCGCATGCTGAGCCGAGAACGCGATGTGAGTCGGTAGCACAAACAGTCTTCAGGTGTTACTCTGGTCTTTACCCCACAGACTAAACAGGAACAAAGAACATGAGAGACAAAACATGCAGCTGAACCCGGTTGAACTGTGACAGTAACTGATGCAGATTCATGTTTTAAACAAGCTCTTTGTTGTTTCAGCACCATTGTTGATTTTATGTCATTGACCTATTTTTCAGGACTACCTGTTCTGATAGTTGGTCTAACATTGGTGATATCAAGGGGAAAATACAAGTCACATGATCACTGCTGGCTCAGTGTGCAAACTGACACCATCTGGGCCTTTGTGGGACCAGTCATATTGGTCTTGACGGTATGTATTCATATTGTGAGTTGTTCATCTGTGCACTGCGGTATGCTTAAGTCATATGTACTGTTCATGCATGGATTAAAAGCTTCTTGACGCTGTTTATAGAATGAGTATGTTAGATCCTGACTTTTATTTTATTCCTGACATAAATATAGAATATTTGTTCACTGAATGCAAAATGACATCTCTCCAGTCCAACTGTAGCAGCAACAATGGCAGTAAGATTAAAAAGAACCTTACAGAAAGCAGAACAAACAGCTAACTCGCAGTATTGCTCCTTCCATCCAAAACATGAGTCTTCACATAAGTGTTTTCTGCTTCAGGTGTGTGCTGAGATGTATTTTGGTGCAGCTGAATGCTCCTGTCAGCTTAAGGCCAAGTGGCTCTGCAGTGTTGCCGCTGTTGTGTTCTGCCTGCAGGTCAATGCAGTTGTGCTGTGCCGCGTTGTCATGGTGACCGTTTCCAGCGCTCATCGCCGCGCTAAGATGCTCAGTCCAAGCTTTGCATCGAAAATGCAGACCTTTGACCTCACCTGGTGAGATACAAAAACATCTCTGCCTCTTTCCTTCACGAATTGTTTCCCGCTGTCTGCCCACGCTCTTCCACACTCACACACACACCAACCCACACACTATTTTCCTTTTTTGCTTGATGAGCACTGGACTCAGTGGAGGCAGTGTGTGAGACTGGGAGTTTACTGTGGGAGTTACAAGGGCTTATCAACTTAACACCTGGCCTCAGCACAGTTGTTTGTCTTTTCGTCAAGCCTTTCCTTTGCCATGGCCGTGTTTGCATTGTATTATTCATACTGCTTGGTATTAGAGATGCACCAATCCAGTTATTTTGGGTTTTAGTCAAATCTTTGTTGTTTTATTTTTAAATTTAAATATATGCCTGTACTAAAATGTCCAGATCCACAACATTTTTCATTAAAAAATGTTTCTGTCATGGGAACAATCAACAGGGAGGACAGAGACTCACAGGGGAACAGACTAATAAACACAGACAAACCTCAAAATAAATACACAGAAAACACAGATCACAACAGTTTCTTATTGGTGATGACACCACACAAGCTTAAGTGGCAAAGACGACAAAGAAGACAACAGGAAGAAGGAGGATGATGGTTTGTTTTTGTTTTTCGGACAATGTGCAGCTGCTCCTCCAGGGCTCTCACAGCATCACAGTTCATAAGAAGTCGTGTGTCATTCCAACATGTTGAATCCAGAGCTCTTCTGTAAAATCGCCAATCACAATTTTCAAAAAAAGCTGTACATGTATTATGCAGCATTTATGCAGCTCCTTTCATTTGTTTACGTCGCTTGTTGCTGCAACGCCTGAATATGACTCCAACTTCGTCTCTGATTGGCTGAACTATAAATACATTTTATGTGACTGCTTACATCCGTGGCTGCCATAATTTTTAATGACTTACTGCAGGAACAACCTTATTCACATGTGACTTTAATTTAATTTCTTATTTATCGTAACAATTCAATTGCAAAATTGTGTTTTTTTTTTTCAAAATTAACATCAGAATATAGACAAAGATTTGCACACATTTGTCATGCAAACATGGCTATTATCAGGTTTTATCCTACAATTGTATGCATATTTTCAGTATTATTCGTATTTGTAAGATTGATAACTGGATGATGAGCCATGTGGAAAAAACTTAGACACCTCATCAAACATCCAATCTCACATGTTGTCTAATCATCTTTTATCTCCTGAAGCAAACTAATTTATTTACATTTAAACACCAAAAATGATCCTCGTTTCACTCTTTACAGAGATAAACAGAAATGTGTTTTCTAACTGAGGAAGAGGTTAGGACACCCTGCCCTCTGATAGCTCGTGAAGTGTGTTTGAGCCATCCAACAGCGTCAGCTTGAGGAAAGTTTCACCTCTCATCACCAGCTTTGACTGTCAGGACTCGATTTGTTAACATTCAGTCAGTCACTGGTGAGTGACTGACTGCATCAGCGTTCATTTTTTCATTGATTGTCTTGACAAATTTCTGATTCTTGTTAAATTCATAGTGGTGTCTATGGTGATGATGGTCATGTTGTGCTTCATGATGCTTTCAGCTCCATGCTTCACAGCTCTTATTAGGTCCTGAGTTGTTTTTGGGGTTTTAATTAGTTGATTCTAGTTTAATTATTACTCTGCTTTCTTAGTTTCTTATTTTGATTGATTACCCTTCTGTTTACCTTAGTGCAGTCCTTGCTTAAGTTACTCTGGTTTTATTACATCTACTCATTCTTTAACATTAGATTCATTCCCTCGCCCCTGTGCCATTTTCTCGCTCCTCTCATACCTGCAATAAGTCTGCCAGTCAGCCCAGGTTATTTGTTCCATCATTCTCTCTCTCAGTGTTTAAACACATCTCCCATTATCACTCCCTCCTGGGCGACAAGCGGCTGGGCTGCTATGCTGATGCGGTCTCCCGTTACAGTCACGCCTCTCTTATTCTGTAGTGGCGGCGGCCCTCGACCTCACATCCCTTCTGTTGCTGCTCAACCTCTGACTGGCTGTCAGTAGTTCATACTTCCAGTGCAGGCCGTGCCGTCTCGCTGTCTCTGCCACTCAGCTGCTTGGTGTCTCGATTCTCCGGGAAGCAGGGCGGAGCTGGTGACGCCCAGGTCGCTCCGTCTCCCATCCTTTTATTTCTCCAGCCACACTCTCGCATCATAGCCGATGGGAGACACCTGGGAAACAACCCCCACCAAAATAAAAAACACTTGCAACACAAAACTAAAACCAAAACATGCATGTAGAAAACGACCACCTTGCCACACATACTCAAACCTTTGAAAGTCGTTGTTCAAATGCAGAAAGTGCCACACTCACAACATTAGTGTTTATGATAAAAGAAAAAAATGTCAAACAGAATGTTCCTTGCAGCCAGAATTTGTATTTGTATTCATAAAGCCTACCTTTAAGACGCACTTCCACCTTTACATTTTTTTTATTGTATGTTTGTTTGTAACTAATGGAAATGCCACAATGCCATTCCTTTCCCTCTACAGCCATTTCTCTTCATTCCCTCACAAACAGGCGGATGTATGTGCCAGTCGTGTTACATCAATTCAGGAGATTGGAGGGAAAACAACTTTCAGAAATAAAGAGAAGAGTGAATCGGCTTTGTCCTTGCTGACACAGTGCAGCTGAAAAACTCAATCTTTCCATCCAGGTGCAGCAGTATGACAACAATGGTGGTTTAAACAAAGGCAATGTTTTCTGCTTTGCCCCATGAAATGGTTATTCGCCGTATAAGAACCAAGATCACTGAAAGGATTGTTGCAAAGGAGCAGGAGAATGAATGCAGTTGGGCGGAAAATCTATACTTACACAGAAATGTTTGGTGTGGATTCGACAGGGAAACATCCAACAATAAACTGTCTTTACAATACGTTCAATGATTTTCTTTTCTTTTCTTTTTAAGACTTCAAGAATGAAAACCCACACAAATGCGAGGCTGAATATGTTTTAACCTAATGTATACGAAGGAAAATAAGGACAACAAAATAACTGTTGAAGACTTTCTCTGAAAAATGTCCATGTATCAATGCATGCTCCGTACGAGGGATTGCTGTAAGCTCAACGCACAATGCAAGCAATCATCTGCCGTCACTGTGTGCTCATCCAGGAGGAGTGAATGCTGCAAGTCAGTGACTGAATGCCATCCCCTGGGTTTCCTTAGATTGAAAATGCACTGTCTGATAACGAGGATCAAATGTGTGATTCAGTTGAATTTTTTTATTTATTAATTTTTTTGTAAAGTGCTTCCAGATGACATTTGTTGTGAATTGGCTCTACATATACATATTTTGTTTTTCAGTTCAATTTGGTTTGTAGCACCAATTCACACAAAATGTCCCAAGACACAAAATCAACAGATTCAATCTTTGTATGGAAGTTTATGGTGAGCTTAATCAAATCATAAAGACAAATTCATATTAAGTTGCATACATTCCAGTTTGATCCCAGGTATTTTACCGGATCACTTCTTAGGCCAGTTGGTAAAAAAGAGATCTGTTCAAGGAAGCCAAGCTAACTGCATCAAGTCACTGAAAATGCAGCAATTGCTCCTCCTGAACAAGCATTCGGTAACAACACATTATTCAGTGCACTGATTCTTCATGTTTGCAGCAATTCACGTACCATGTGATAAATTAAAATAGCATTCAAAAGTCCATTTATTTCATTAACTCAACTCAATCACCAACGAAAATACATTATATAGATTAATAAGACAAAAACTAATTCACAAAAACTCAATACTATAAGGATGTGAGCTTTGAATAGGCCAGTCCTTGATGGATTCACTTGTGAGTTTTGGGTCATTCTGGATGATGTGGTAAAGTTCTGTTCTGCTTCGGTTTTATGTTTTTTACAGTTGGCCTCATATTTTCTGCAGGCTCCTTCAGGTCCAATACAATAAACCATGACACTTTCCCCTCCAATGTTGCACATCTGAGTTTTTTTGTTTTTGTTTTTTTCCTGCAATACTGTGATTCACATTCAGCATCTCCTTTGTTCTGGTGTCCTAACAATTTTTGACTTAATTTGACTCGATCGAAGATTATTATAAGTGAAGTTCTGTCTTTGTCTCTTTTGGAGACTTCTAGCAGCTTGTTGTGGTCCTCACCTGAAGCTGCATTTTGTTACTACTGGTTTTAATTGATTAGCTATAGTCTGTAGATACTAATTATAACACCTGAACCACCAACAGGGTTAATGCTGATACTGTCTCTGTGTGCTTTTAGGGCAGTGACCCGTCCAATTCTCATCCTGCTGCCGGTTCTGGGTCTGACGTGGATGTGTGGCGTGCTGGTCCATCTGTCTGTGGTCGTCAGCTACATCTTCATCATCCTCAATTCCTTTCAAGTAAGCAAGACTGAAGTGAATTCTGATTGTGGTGTGTATATTAGGGATTATTTGAAAAAGGCAAGATGAAAAAAAAAGTGTGACATCATTACTGTCAAAAAGATGCAACAGATGTAACCTGATATCAATATTTTTTGTTGTTGTTTTTTTTTAGTTAAGCTATGCAACAAAGTACAATTAAAACTTTAATATATGACACAGAAAGTGTAGTCTGGTAAGAACCAGCCCTTGTTCTGTGTGAGGGTCCAGGTTCTCAGCTGTTAAGAAACGATTGCTTCTCAAAGACGTGACCTTTATTGAGATTTTAAATTTAACCCTAATGTTTGCCCGTATTTAGCCAGTTTGATGCTAAGAAGCTACCAGAAGTTGCCTGTGGTGTAAACAACCATCCTCCACTGTGAAGAGAGAAGAGCCAATCCAAACGGGGCGAATCTTAATTAACGACTGTGGCTCCAGCAGTCCGTGTTGGAAGCATGACCAGCAGGGACTGAACGGTTTCGTTCATTTCCTTAGCTGCCATTCCTAAAACTCCAAGCAAACTACAGTTCTGAAACAGTACAGAAAACCAACGTCACCAGTCACGATTTCTCCTTCTGTTCACTGATTGATATGGTAAAAATCCGCAGACTCTGCTGTAAGCAAGATTTTTTTTTAGCAGAATTGCACTGGAAGGCTGAAGTCAAATGACAAAACGTATAATTTCTTAGTTTGAAATTGTAATTACAAAAGTATTTTCATCATAGACCTTAAACTTCTGAATAATCTGTGGAGTTGTGGGCATCAAGCCACAGCTCCACAGATGGTCTGACAGCCTTTACCTTTAACATCCGGTCTAATCTTTTCTCTAATCTGGAACTCTCTTATTTGTGGCCCATGTTCAGTGTGGCGCACACTCTGTCACCAAACAGCTACGTTTCCATTGTAAATCTTAGTTTGTTTTCTGTTTAAAAAACACAATTTAGCAATTGTGGTGTTCCTATTAAATAAGATTTGCAATTAAAATGTCAAGTGAGTAATTTTGTTTATGTGATAAGTCATTAAAAACCATGTCGCGTTCTGATCCTCTAACTATTTCCTGTCGTCTTTTTCTTGTGGTTTGCTCCAGTGGCAACATCCTGTTGTTCATCACTTTACCAGTTTCAGTTTTGCAAAATAAACCAATTTCAATATGCCTAAAAAACCCCCTCATTCAAGCACCAAAACTTTTTAATCAAAGTATTAGGGGTTTTTTTGGTTTTTTTGTTACTAAATCGGTGTGTTTCCATTATGCAAATTTATTTTCAAAATGTCAAATTGCGCAATTAAATAGGTAGTGGAAACATAGCTGTTGACTACTTGTCACCCTTTAAATAGGCAGCCTGACTGGTTAGAAGCTTGGAGACAGCTGTAATGCTGATTAGAGGACAGCCTCAGTCTAACATGTCCCTGTGGTCACATCAGGTCAGTCTTCACTAGAGGTACCATCACGTTTGTCCAGGCCTGTTTCATTAGTTTGTTTTTTAAATGATTCAGTTGAACCACATTTCAAAGCAATGTCTAATTTTCATTGGTTCATTTTCGCTAAGATATTATTTATTCATGTTCATAATAATTCTCTTTAATATTAATGTCAGTTCAAGTTAGTACAGTGATCTTTGTGGCTTGCTCGGATATTAAGAGAGGGGTACCAACAATTATCACATCCATATGTGAAAGTGTTTTCAGTATCATAAAATCAATATTAAGTCTTCAACAATACAGCTGCCTTGACTCAGCAATGCTCTCGTTGTAAAACAATATTTTATCGGCTAAGCCATTTCAACAGCAAAAAATCATTTTAGTCCATGCATTTATATGGTTGAAGCCTTGTTCACAATCTCCCAACCAGTGGTCACCCAAATGCTGTTGTCG